ATATCTTTAAAATATAGTTTTGGAGGAATATAGAAAGCCAGAGCAATGCTAGGGACAACTTCTGCCTCTTGGTCATGATGAAGGGAAGCAAGCGTGCTTCTGCTTTTAGTCTGAGGAGCTAAGAGATGCAGACTAAACTGTTTCCTTCCTTTGACACTTTTTTGTATCTCCTCTTCATGTCTAGGAATTTGATTTTAAATATAACTAAGCCTCAGGACAGCTTATATGGGTCAGAGCAAAACCAATTTAGTTCTGCCCCTCTTGAAAGGATGACGTTGCTCATCAGTTTACCAGAAGCAGAAATTTCTTACTGTGAAAATCTGAAAGATGAGTGGGAGTACCAACGTTTTCAGCCCTCTAGAAAAAAAAAATGGAACATTTCTTTTGGAGACTTTCTCCGGTGAAATTTAAACTAGCATTGCTATTTTATTGGTGTTAGCGTGTGGGGTCCGAAAACTGTTTTATAAGCACCACAGACATTGAGATAGAAACATTGCAACCTCCCTAGGCTATTTGAAAGACTTGCTAGAAACGTGTTGGCCAAAGTCGTAAGCCGTGTTTTTACTCTGAAGTTGCAAACAGTGCACAGTGTTACTAAAACCCTGCAGTTTGCATGGAAGCTTTTTTGTTAGGATTGGCCTTTTAGCATTCCTTTGGCTGATTGACCACAAACCAGTTTCTGAAGTTCTGTGGTGTTGAGCAGCTTTTACCAAACTTGTGGAGAAGTAGAATATATTGTCATTAACGGGAGCGTAAATAGGAGCAAAGTGGAGATAGGCAGCCACCTAGAACATCTTTCTGGCCTTGCTTCATGTCTGATAACTTTCAATTTTGCTTAAAAAATTCAACGACTTTCCTCTGCTTCTTCCCACAGTCCCTCTTTTTCATGCCAAGGAAATGCTTGTTTTGAAGGGTTTTGGCATCCCTGCAGTTTGGTGCTAACAGCAGGGCTCGGGGAACTAACACAGCCTGTCTGAGAGCTTCCCGGTGTCTCCGTGGTTCTTCCGGGAGGTTTTGAGGGCCTCCTAGCCGTGGCAGACCTTCCCGGGCGGGTGTAGCTCGCCAGGCTTGCAGTGAGCAAGCTCCCGTCCCGAATGCGCGTGACCCCGTCCTTGGCCCGGCTGCCGTGCCTGGCGCCAGCCGTCCGCCTGCCTCCTGCCAAGCTGGACCCACAAACGTTTTCATTTCTGACAAAGGGCAACTGTTTGGAGGAATTGTTGTCTTGCTTGGTGCTTCTAATCCCTGGAATAACTGCTGTGACGAGCGTAGTAACCATCTGCAGCAAGACTGTTACATTGGTGCCTTTCAAGTGCAGTGACCTCCTGAGCCTTTATCTTATTTTTTTGCTTTTAAAACTTTTCAGAAGCGAGATGGGCAGTAGGAAGCTCAAGTCCTGGACAAGCAGGAGCTATAGTTCCTAAGGTGCATTTGAAAATCCTACTTTTAACTGAGGAGTATCTCGCCCTCTAGCTACTTATTTTTTTAAATCATACCTGAAGCCCCACAAGTCCATTTTAGACATCCTGGTCATTTGGAGAATATATGCCCAGTTTAGCCCAACATTCCCAGTTTTGGAGAGATTTGGATTGCACAGTTTAAAAATGAAGTGGTAAGAGGAGGCATATGTCTGACCATGTCTGTGCAAAGTCTGATGAGCACTAAGCACAGGGACTGAAATCTGATCGGCTGCAGAAGCAGGGACAGGGCATTAATTCCTTTTCACCTTCACTAGCCACTCTTCTGTGTGGTTACCCTTCTATGTTCTGAACCAAGCTGTCGTAGTATCCAGTGAGCTAGGAGGTAGTATGGGGTTTAGGCAGGCTTTTTTGTATTTTGGAGACATGTCCGCCCTGCGGTTTTATGTGCAGTGCAAATCTTGTAATAGATGTACTGCATCAATTTTTTGTTTGCTGTTATTGCCTCAGTTTTACATCAGAAAATTCCCATTTGATATCAACGCAGAGAGTCTATGTTCTATATTTGCATTTTTTGAGCTGCTTTCTTGGCATGAAAATGCCTTGGGTTTTTGATTTTCACTGAGAAATTCCTGATATAAAGTGTAGTTTTTTGATCCTAAAAGTAATCATGGTGTTCCAGTTACTGACTGTTAAGATAGGCCATGCTGCTTAAAGGAAAACTGCATTGTTTACATGTGACAAATCAGCTAAATGAGCAAAATCTATATTGAAGTGTCTGTCACTCTGTCAAACTTGTCATTTGGTTATTTGACCATTTCCCTGGGTGTTTGAAAGAAGATAAGCAGGAACTGCGATTGCAGTACAAGACAGATGGCATCATAAATACGTAATGGAAATTAAGCCAAGCTCCAATGCGTGAGGTTTTGTGGGTGGATGGTGAGGGTATGTCTCGATCCACACCCCTGGAGCTCCGCTGCTCCGTGGCAGAGCACAGCTGCAGGGGGCACTGGGTGCAGACCCCCGGCGGGGGCATTTCCTAGCTCCCGTCTTCTTCCCGTCTGCTCGAACCACCCGTCCTGCAGCTGCGGGAACAATGGCACAGATCTGCTTTCACGCCGCAGCTGGGGAGAGACAGGCTTCTTGTGTAGCAAGGAAATAATGAATTCAAATTTGCTTTCTCTTCTGATATAGGGTAAGAAAAGCAAAGTTTCCTGGGCAGGAAAACAGACAGAGAAAAGAGTGGAGAAGGGTTTGATTGCTTTATTTGAATAAAGCACATAAACGTTCAAATTTTTTAACTCCGTGAGAACTTCACTATGATACATTGTTTTGAAACAAGAGATGGAAAGGGTTTGCTCAGAATGTCGAATCTCACATTTCACCCTCCTGGTAACTCTGCCTTTTTTGTTTCCGGCCCTTTTGAACAAGATTTAGCTCTCAGTGGTTGTGGTTCTTCCTGCCCACCAGCTGGCAGGAGGTAGGCAGGAGATGCCTGTTTGCCGGAGCTTCCTCAGCGTGATGCTTGTCACCTACCTTCTTCCACCAGAAGAAGAACTGTTTTTATGGTACTGACAAAATAGGATGGTTGAGCAGTTAGTAACTGATTCATGCAGCTTCCAACGTAAGCTGCCTGCAAGACAGCTGGCAAGTCTGGAGGTCATGTTTCTTTTCTTTTCATTTTTTTCTTTTCTTTTTTTGCTTCTGTTCTTTTTTTGTCATTTTATTGCCTTATTTTCATTCCTTGCTTTTTAGTAAGCAGATTCCTTAGAGAACCCCACTCAGTGCACTGTTTTATTATGCACAGAAACTCAAAGATGTGTAGTGCTAACGAAGGGGTGCCACCTCTGCCTCCGCAGGCTGCTGTGTCCGTCACGTCCGTGCTGTGTTGTAGCACTAGCAATAGGTTCCCTGAATTATTCCAAAGGGCAGTGAAGGGACGCTGTAGGGAGCAGCAGATTGAAAATCTCAAGCTAGGCAAGTTAGAGAGCAGGAAAGACCAGGACAGGCACAGCAGGGAAGTGGTGAGAGGAGGGGTTCAGCAAGGCTGTTCACTGAACGGGTCAAGGGTTCAGGACATGCAGCTGCTCGAAGCCCGGAAAGTGCTAAACTGGAGCGTCGCAGGGAAGCTGGAGTGCAGCAGATGAAGCCGTTTCAACCATAGCTGCTCCAGTCAATTGACTTTTGGACCTGACCTCATTGCCCTTGCAAAACCCTGGTTCCAAATAAAACCCGGTGGAGGTCATGGTTGGGTCTGCTCTCGCACCTGGCCGGGTAGCATTTGCAGCTGCTGGTTGACAAACGGTTGTGTTTATCAGCGTGGAATCGGCCGTAATGTGTTTATTCCTCTGGCTGATGAACTCGATAAGCTTTATGTGTTTGGTTGGATACCTTGTGTCTGTTCTGCTCGTTTGGCTGGACCCTGGAGGAGCGAGTGGTGGCTTGATCAAATGCCCAGGAGAAGTGATCTGAGTCCGAGGGATGAGTTTGACAGGATCTCCCTTGTACACAACACGATCAGAAGTACCCGCGTGCTTTAATGTCTGTGTGAGATCCGTGTGCCCTGCAGTGGGAACTGTCTTTAATGCTGTTAATGCTACTTGAAAGTGGGAAACTTGGGCTTTTGGCTTATTTTACGACCCAAAAAGTGTGAATTGGCTAATTAATGAAAACCTGAAAATTTATGCAGCTTTTTAAGATGAAAAGTGTTAAAAATTATTGTGCGCTTCCTACTAATTCAGTGATAGCATTGCTGCATTTGAACGAGTAACTGGGGGCACCTTAAAACAACCACTGAATTCTTCTGTCCTACAAATTTTGGGCATTTTTTTTTGCTTCTTACCTGGACAGATCCTGGTGGCTTCAGTAGGAGCAGTGTTTGCCTGAGAATGTTACGTTAGGTGTTTGGTAAAGACATACCTGAACAGGCAGTTTTTCTTTTCATGTGTCACAAACAACTTGTCTTGGTTTTTGTAAGTATAGACTATTGGCTCTTTATTTGTTTTTTAATAAATTAAATGATTACTTAATATATGTTTGGGTTTCTTAAAAAAAAAAAATTAATTGCAGTTTTCCATTAAGAGCAAAGTCTCTCTAAAGTCCACTTGGTTCACACAGAAGGTCTTGCCCTTGTTGCAGTGAAACCCAATTAGAAGGGTGACAGTTGCTGGGAGCGTGGTGGTGTAGAGCAGCGGAAGCTTTGGGGAGATGGGGCTGGGGAGTGCTCTTCAGACTCTTGGTTCTGCATGTTACCAGATCCTGCTTGAAGCCCGATGTATTTTGTGCAAAGTAGAAACAACTGTGTAAATGAGTGATTAGAATGACTCTATGAGACACATTGAATTTTACGCCGCAGCTGGAGAAACTTATCTTTAATTGAAGCTGTGGGCAAGTGTATGTCATTTTTGATTTAACATTTTTTCCCTCACCCCTGCACCCCCCACCCCAACCAAAATCCTTCGTGCAGTCAGATTGTTACTGTAGCCTTTGTGAACCCCTCTCTTCTAATGTTTAATCAAGTGCTGAAAAGAGAAATTTACAGACTATTTAAAATGTGGAAAAATTGCTTCCCAATATTTTTGACAGAGAGAGACTGAGAACACACAGCATTGAATCATCAGGAAAATTGAAGATTTCCCCTGAACAACATTGGGATTTTACAGCAGAGGACTTGAAAGACCTTGGAGAAATTGGACGAGGCGCTTATGGTTCTGTCAACAAAATGGTCCACAAACCAAGTGGGCAAATTATGGCAGTTAAAGTAGGTGATGCCCATACTTACATTTGTACTTCAGTCCGTTAGGGATGAAATGTGATGGAGAATTAATGTTCTTCCATCTAGCACCCATCTACTGCTCTTTTCTATTTATTTCCAGTGTAAAGGCTGCTATTTGCTGAAAATGCGTTGTATAATGGGCATGTTGTCAAGTGATTTGTGAAGCTTTCATAATTGCTTGTGCCCTTTTGAAAATGCCTATTAGGAACCTCCTGCTTTGAGGGGACCACATGTCTCTGGAGACTGATAACGGGGCATGGGGCTTTCACCTCTGGGTCACTGGTTCAGATACAGCCTAGGTTGGTGGTAGGCGTAAGCTGATATCTAATAGCATCTCGGTGTCTATTGTGAAATAAGGTAGTGAGTTAAACTTTGCTTTTTATGTAAGCGGTGCCATGGTTTAGCCTCACCAGGAGGAACTGGAATGGAGTGGACATCTTCTAGGGATGTTTTCTCTTGCTGATGTATGGTGGGAGCATCTTTGCTTTGTGCTTACCATGCTGGGCCTGCTCTGGAGCTGGAAAGCACAGCAGTTTTTTGGACTGTCCATTTTCTACCTTATGCTATCCAAAAACTCGCCTTAAAACTGGAAACAACATGCAACCTCATTTCTTAGCTGGGCGATACGGAGTAATCTTTGTTTTGCAGCAGTGCTGCTCACTGGTCATCTCTGAGGAGCTGCTTTCCATCGAGCTGGGTGAGGTGGGCAGCAGCTATTCTCTGTCTCTCTTGTCTTTTTCTTTGCTTGCTGCTGGCTGGTAGCTAATGGCATCAATCTTTTAATTCTGTTGATGATATCAACTGTAAGTGCTCCCATGGCTCCCATGAAAGAGTAGAAGCGGGCTACAGAGGAGTCTGTGTTGCTCTCTTTTCCAGCTCTCTCTGTCGTCTTTGGAATATTCCCTGATCTGACCTGGAAATGTTCACTCCTGCTGGTCTCACATGCCAGGTAGACATGTCTCAGCCCCAGCTCTAGCTGCTGTGAATATAATTCATACTTGTCTCTAGTGTGTCGGGTCACTGGAGTAACCACCAGCCTTTGATTTCTCTCCGGTAAATATTGACTTTCTCACAGTGGTGGGATCACTGGCCAGGTCTCTGAGTGTTTTGAATCACCATGCAGTGGTATTTCAACCTGGTTTTGAATCCATAAAAGTCTCCAGTAGACTAGAGGCTGCCTGTAGCTAAAGCCTTGTTTCTCTTAGTTGCCTTTGGTGGATCTCATAGATGGAGTTTGTAGATGACAGGCTGAAAACTGCTGATGTAATGAAATGATGCCTGGGCACCCGCAGCTTTGCAAACCCAGGGTGTGTGACCTGGGCAACTATAACTTTGCTACTATAATCGTGATAGCCATGGGTAAGTAGCAGCCATACCTATAGCTGAGTGGCTTTGTTATCTGAAGCTCTGCAGTGGGTACAGCTGTGCTGAGAAGAGTGCTTTGTTGGATTAGCTAACGTCATCAAGGAGGAGTTGTGTCTGCTGGCACAGAAATTCTGTTGTCCCAGACTGGATTTTCACAAGGGGCGTTCAGCACTGTAGGATAATCTTGTCAGCATCGAGGGTCTGTGGTGCAGGTACAGCTCCCATCTGGGAGGCAGAAGGCACCAACACCATGTTGTTGAAGCATGCAGTTGGAGATGACATTGCACAGCATGTTGAGCTGGCTTTCCCAAGGGGAGAGAGGTGGTCTGAGCCCTAGGGGGGGTGCTGGGCTTGGGGCCTCACGTTTAAACAAATAAAACCCGATAGATTTACAGTGTCCAAACTTTGAAATGTCAAAGCTGTGGGCTGGGATGGTGCCACCTCCTTTGCTCTGAACCACTGCCTTGGGCAGGCGTGGCTGGGCCTGCAGGAGAAGGCAAGCTGGGGGGTCTGGGCAGCCGCATCCTTTCTAAAATGTTAGTGGCAAGGGGCTGTTCTGTTTGTCCCTGTGGGGATAAAACATGAAATTGAGCAAAAGCAGACCAGTGGGTGAAACAGTAAGCGAGGCCTCCAAGGCAGCAGCAGCTATTCCAGAGCTTGGATGGTGCAGTTATTTGAGAGGAGATTTCAGGACAGGGCTGAGCCTGGACTAGCAACTAGTTCATCCCAAACTACTTGGCCTTTTCTTTCTCAGATTGCTGTTGCTTCTGGGGCTGCTGAGGTTGCGTGTTAATCTCTCTGGTCCTGCCCTATCTAAATTTACCCTGTGGGCCATCCGTGTTTGGGGCTGTCCACTTCGTGCTCTCTCTATCTTGCTCAAGCCAGTGATGTCCTAACAGCTGGCGGAGCTGTTGCCTTCTGAAGCTTCAGCTCTCCTCCTGCATTTGGGGAAACCAGCTACTCGCCACAGTCTCTCCATGCTGTACAGGGGAGGTTTTCCTTCAGCAAAATGCCTTTCTGTAAGAGCAGGTTTAGAAGGGGAGTGGTGGTTTGAGAAGAAAATGTGTCAATCTAGTGAAATGAAGTCTTGGCCACTATCTCCGTGACACCTGCTTGCAGCTGCATGGTGTGGCACCATGGTGTGTGCAGGGCATCAGGAATGCTGCCCTGCAGCTAGCTGGGTTGCAAAGCCAGTGTCTCTGGTTATTTGGTGGTGCTGTTGTCCCTCTCCTGTGCTTCCCCGAGAGCAACATCAGTGCAGCAGGCAGATCATCCTTGGAAGGACATTCAGCAGTAGGAAATAGCTTGATTGAGGCCGCAAGCCAAAAGTTGTTGGCTGTTCTGTGCTGGTGGGTGAATCACAGAGATGGCTCCGGAAGCTGATAATTAGATGCAGAGAAAATTGGTATGGGGGCCTCCTCCAGCTGCTCCTCCATCTTCTGCACTACTAGCTGAATTTCCACTACCACTGGTGCAAATTTCCAGCACAGTAAGGTATCTTCCTCCCCGGTTTCTGGAAGGCCCAAGTCCTTTTTGCAGTTACTGTGACCAGGCTGCATCCCTTGTGGCTTGTCAGCCCCTTCTGCAGTGGACGGATTGAAATCCTCCTTTTTCTACAAGCCTGCTGCAGCTGTATTGTAAAGAGTGGGTGAAATGTTCTGCTTTCTCCCATGCTGGAGCCTTCCTCTGGCTGATCCCAGCTCCTGCGGCTCCGAGGCAGCATCTGGGCGCTCAGCCTGCTCAGCTCTCAGCCTACGCAGATGTGCATACCCTCAGATCCCGTTTCCAGCTCCTTGCTCTGGCTTTTGTTACTCTGTTATGCCTTTGCACAAGGAACAGTCTTTGGTTCCCTGAAGTGCAGCTTAGCCTTTTGCTTGCTCCCCGCTCGGTGCTGGTGCTGCAGGGCACGGTGGCTCTGGTGGCCCCCGGGGCTCCTCCAGCACAGCCTTGTTGCTGTGCTTCCATCTGCATTTCTTACCACTGCGGAAAAATAATTCCTGAGTGCTGAAATATCACTGAAAGAACTTGAGATCTGCAGGTGGAGGCATCATTTTCTTTCATTTTTGCCTTTTTTGCATTTTGGCCTCACCAGCCAATGTATAGATCCTAGCAGATGTAATCCTGGCACCTTTAATGAGGGTGTCTAGCTGCTCGCACGGGTACTAGGGCTGCCAGGCCCCTGGATGAGTCAGAAAGCTTTCATCTGTGCTTGAGCGTCAGCAGCAAAGGAGGAAAATGAGCCTCATCGTGTCGCTGGTATGAAGCCACTGCAGCAAAGCTGTGGCTGGTGGAGCATTGCTGGGGAGATGCTCGGATGATGAGCTCTTGTCCCCAGTCCTGCTCCTCCCTCTCCTTCACCCTTTGTCATTCTGCACCTCTATGAATACCTATATCAATAACAAAAAGCCATTTTGAGCCTCTTCGGGAACAGGCTGCAGGCTGGAGCGGGTGGCGCCCCCGAGGGGGGCCGGGGTGCGCGG